TAGACGATATAAATTATGCCTTTTTTTTTTCCCCTTCCATTCATAAGACCATTATAAGTGATCGATATGTATTTTCGGTTATAATACTAATTTTATAATTTATATTCTCATATAGTTATTCAGAATTACAATTCTGAGATTTCGTTTTTTTCTTTTTAAAAGTTGCAGGCTGCACATCTATTTTCATGCGCCTGCCTGCCTTTATTTTCTCTCTTTCTTTCATTTTGTTTGTTTGTTTGTTTTTTTTATTTTTGCTAATCTTTCATTTTGTTTGTTTGTTTGCTGGGAAAATATTCTTTTTCCCCTTGCACGTACAGTAAAAAAAGATGTGCATATATATGTACTCACTTGTTTTTTTTTTTTTTTTTTTGCTAATCTTTCATTTTGTTTGTTTGTTTGCTGGGAAAATATTCTTTTTCACCTTTCACGTACAGTAAAAAATGATGTGCATATATATATATATATACGTACGTACGTTGAGTCTTTTTTTTTTATAATTTACGTACGTTGAGTCATTGATCAATATTATTCACTGTCAAAATCTCTCTCTCTCTCTCTCTCTTTCTCTCTCTCTCTCTCTCTCTCTCTCTCTCTCTCTCTCTCTCTCTCTCTCTCTCTCTCTCTCTCTCTCTCTCTCTCTCTCTCTCTCTCCACAATCTCACTGTTAATCAGTTGGCAGCTTGGACTCATTGCGATCCGTAAATATCACATAATTAAAGGAATCAGGAAAGGTAAAATACTAAAATCCAAGGGAATACTAGCCGGCCTGATCATGCCTGTTTTAATTAATGTACGTTCTTATAAGAGGTAGTACTTGAGTAAAGTATACATTAACATTGAATTCTGATCTCTCGTGGGCTCGTTTGGTTCGTTAATTTGAGTTTTAAATTCGAGTTAAAATGTGACTTTATGTGAGAAATTTTTACTGTAGTAAAAAAGTTAGATGTGACTGTTTTTTAGAGCTTTTTACTGTAATAAAACTCAAATTTTAAACTCAAATCGGTAAAGTGAACGATGCCTATATGTTTTTTGGTTTAAAAAAACGAGTCTATCGTGATTATATTATCTATATGACTCGACATTGTGCTTAAACTAGATATGATTATAATTATTATTAGGGTCCTTCTTCCGCATGTTATCTCATATACGGGTACTTATTACACATTTTTGACGGTTGAATGTGATTAAAATCGCACATTTTTAATGAATGAATATAGTTAAAATCACATTAAAAAAAATTATGTAGAAAAATAATTTTAATTACAAATTAAATATTAAAAAATAAAGACTTACCGATAGTTTATTTTTCTAACTTCTATAGTAAAAATCTCCCCATTGTTAGGGTAATCACCACTATTAATTTTGAACTATTAGTATAATGAACATTTTTCATTTTTTTAGCAAATTTCTCTCTGCATTTTTTTGACAGTTTTTTTAAGGAGTTTTTGACAGTTTTCTATAACACTAAAATTAATGAAGAGTTGCTCAATTTTACACAGATAATCATATCCCTATCACCTCGTAACTGAAGATTGCATCTACTAACTTAAAATGCACAAAATGCTCTAGTTTTCAATGGGTTTTAATAATAGTGAAGACCATTTTGCACATAATATAACTATATCTATAAAATTTAATTTCATATGATATACATGTGATTATTTTTGTTAAATGTTAAAAATCTTCCGTTGGTTATTTTAGTTACATGGACCAAAACTACAAAAATCAAAAAAATTTAAAGTTTGCAAAATTAAGATCAAAATATCACAATACTTGTACTTCAAAGAGTACCAAAAACCTTTATTATTATGTCCGTACAAAAAAACCTTAAAAAATAGCATTTCTCTATTATGATTTTTAATTGTTGAATCTAATTAAAATTATATTTAATTAAAAAATATAAATAGATAATTTTTTATACATATTTAACGATTAAAAAGAATGCATTTTTTATAATTTAATTTTTTCAACGCTTATGCCAGAAAAATTCTCAAATTAAAGAGCACATCAAAGATGCTAAAAATTGCTAGACCGGTAGGATACTTTTGCTTGGTTTACGGGCTTGTTACTCTTACAGAAGTTCATTATTTGGATTTTTGTGGAACTTCCTTAATATTTGAAAGGACACATTCTTTATGCCACCTGATGTTCCTAGTCATCCTTGTAACAAGTTCAGTATAATTTCCTTATCCAAAAGAAATAAATGATAAAAAAAAAAAGCTAATTTTCATTTTCAATTGAAAGTAGCATTTTCGAACACATGCAAATAGCTTAGCCATATATCTCTGTGTGTGTAAAATGGAAACATTTGGTGTATATAGTACAAGACCCTGTTTATTTCATCGATTCGAATTTAGAATTCGATTTTTATTACAGTAAAAAGTTATCAAAAATAGTTACATCTAATTTTTTTACTATAATAAAAAACTCTCACATAAAATTACATCTCAACTCGAATAACGAACTAAATAAACCCTAAAATAATTACTGAGATGGGATTTTATACCTCATATGTGGCAACTCGAGCCGCTGAATACTAGAAAATGAATCACGGCACTCTCAAATCAATCAAACCTACCCATCAAAAGATTGATCTCATGAGTGGATAGACGGGCAAGGGCGGCAAACCAACAAGCAAATATCGTTAATACATTCATAAAATAGTAATAGGAAACTTAACAATCATCTCAAAAAGTAATGAACTCAATTGGTCCATCTAAAGATAAATTAATAGCTCATTTAGTTAGAAGATTCATTTTTTAATTTAAATTATAATTTATAATTCGTTATAATATTATTTTTTATAAAAAAAATACACATAAATTAAAAATAATTTAAATTTTATAATTCTAATATATAAATCAAACGGGCTTTAAAAAAAAAAAATGATCAACGATTGAGTTTAGCCGGAAGGACCGTGCCCATTAAATGTAATTAGTAGCCATCTAAATAAGCAAACTAGATCCGCATCAATGACGCAATAAAGGCACACGATCAACCCGTAAAATCAACTTTGACCAATCAACGAGAAGATAAATTATTTGAAAAGGAAAATTAAATATTACTGGGAACAAAAAGTAATATTATGAAACATGAAACAACTTGAAGACCTCACTCACTATAGATACAACAAAAAGTTTGAGTCGTAGTAAAAAGTTTGAGAAATAAATGAAGCAAAAAGTTTTTGTTGTGATTTGAATGGTGAAACAAATTAATGAAGTCTGAAACAATTCTCCGTGTGTTGTGTCTATTTTGTTAAACCTTTTTCTGATGGAATATTTTGTTAAACTTTTAATCTTGTTTTTTTTTTTTTCTCTCTTTCGTATTAGCCAAAATGAACCATTGGCTAAAAGAAGGCATGTATTTGTCAATTATAAAAAAGAAAATGAGATAAATATCTTTTAAAGAGTATAAATCTAATTTTTTATATTTTATTTTTAATTAATATCCTTTTAATTAAATAACTATTAGTCAAATATGCATTAATTGCAGTATAAATATAATTGCGTACTTTTGCAGCGATTGAAAAGCCAAAATTATGATATGGTTAACGAAAAATATACAAATAATAGATTACACTTCTAAACAATATGGTTATATCAAAACCGTATTAACTTGAGAAAAAAATATAATAATTTAATATTCGATAAATACGTTACGATTTAGAGTTATGTTCTGCTCATTATAAATATTACCCCATAAAATATTTTCTTCTAATTTAAAATAAAGGCTAGGATAAATCCTAGAAAAAGTTCCTGAATTTTACCCCATAAATTGTGATAAATAAATTAGAGTTAATGTCATGTTAATTTCACCGATTTAAATTTAAAATTTGAGTTTTGTTATAATAAAAAACTCTTTAAAATAATTATATCTAACTTTTTATTATAATAAAAAACTCTCATATAAAAATTCAAATCAATAAACTAAATGTGCCCACAATTTGTGTGATTTTGAAAGTCATGAATCAAAGAAGATAAATTTTTGGACATTTAACCCAAAGGTTAGCTGATTTACGTACATCTGATCAATATAACTGTTGTTTTTCTTTTCCATATATGTGTAAAGAGATTACATTGGGAAAACCCCATCTTCCAAACATCTTCACAGAGAAACGTTATAAGCCCATTTTGGTTAATCAACCTCTAGCTATGAATTATTACATCAATCGCAGTCAAACTAGAAATTTTCTGAAATTCTGAGCACCACACCACTACTTATTGGAAACCCCAAAACAAAGAAAGTGATTGAACTTCTCTGTCTTATTAAATGCTCACCCACATTAATTACTGTCCCATTTTACAATTTGACCCGCCAACACCATAATATGTTAAAGGAGATTTCTCCTGCAAAAATGCATTACTAAAAAAGTTGCTATTTTCACCCGTCAATCTATATTAAAAACTATTTTTCTTACATATTTTTTTAATATTAATTTTGATCGGATGATTAAAAACTGACTTTATTAATAAAAGAGATCAACCAAGAAAAACCAGCATATTAATATTCCAACACAAAATATGATTATATGACTAGCTATTTCCTTGGAATAGAAAAATAATAGTCCAAATTGATTTCTGATGTGGACAGTAATTAGTATTACTCCCCAAAGTCCCAAACTTCGTTTTCCTCTTGCACGTATTGTTCCTTTCACTCTGTCCTTACACTGCATTCTTCTGCGCTTTTCACAGTGGCTTTCTCAAATTCTCTCTCTTCAGTTTTGTGGTGGACCCTCCCCCAACCTCCATTAATTCACACTCCTTTTTTTCCTTCTCTTTGCTCTTTATTACTCATTCACCACATAATATAACATCAGAAAATCCTCAAACCAAACTAATCTCTCTCTCTCTCTCTCTCTTCGTTCGGTTTGTATTTGCTAGTTCTTGTTTGCCATTTTTTTCTTCTTCTTCTTTCTTCTTCTACAGCTAACTTACTAGATTGTTCTGTTCATGACTTTATGATCATGACATGAAAAATTTAAGATATTGACATGCATAATATTCATGCTCAATATTACCATGATATATTCACTATTTCCCCATTTCCCCACTATGATTAGACTCTTTCCCCATTTCACCACTATTATTAGATTCATTACGCTTCTTATTTTTGTTCTTCTTTGTTCACCTTCTTGCTTTTGCACTCGTCAACCGCAGCCCTTGACTTCTTCTAAGGTGAGAAAAAACGAAACCCTTTTAAGAACTCTGCCAGAAAAATGTACTGTTTTATTTTGTTTTGTTTTGTTTTTGGGGATTTTATCGGTTTTTCATTTTGTTTTTGTTTTTTTTTTTTTCAAGGGTTTGTTGGTTGGAGAGAAAACCCGGCTCGGTTCAATGCCACCGAGCTGCCACAACAAGTGCAACGCGTGCCATCCGTGCATGGCGGTCCAGGTCCCAACCCTGCCGAGAAGCGAACCGGTTCGGCCGAACCTGGACCGGGCTGTCGACCCGGTCGTGTTCTTTGACTCGCCTCGTAACAAGTACTCCAATTACAAGCCTCTTGGTTGGAAATGCCGTTGTGGTAATCACTTTTTCAATCCTTAGTGAAACCACTAAAATGAAGGGGGGGAAAAAAAAAAAAAAAAAAAACCCCCGGAATTTTTTTTTTCGGGGGGCATTCGAGATGGGTTTCAGCTTTTTTTTTTTTTTTTTTTCACCCAGTAGGTTTGTATAACTTACACATACATATGATATTAATTTTTCTCGGGGCATTAGAAAAAAAAAAAGTTATTCATTGTGACGTCAGTTAGAGAGAGTATATTGCCACGGCGTGTACAGAAATTTACATAGAATGTACAGAAATTGCAACAAGATTAATCTTTCTTTATGCTTTTATTTTCTCTTTCTTGAGTATGGGAAATATTGTTGATTTTTTTTGCTTGGTTTGAATTATTTTTCTTGGTTTTGGGCCCCAGGCAGGCCAGTAGTACTGTTGAAACTTTTTGGCAATTTTCACATGGTGTGGCTCTGGAGAAGGTCGAATTGTCAATTATAGGCTCTGAGATTTGTTTGATTTTTTCCTCTGTTGGTTTTACCTCACCTTATCTTCTTGGGATCTACATATTACATTACATGTCATGTCCATGCATTTTTCGCACATCATGACTCTCTTTTGGTCTTCTCACGCTCTCTCTGGTATCATTTTTCTTGCTCCATTGAGAATTACTGTTTACCGTGTAGAGAAATGTTGTCAGTCGAAATCACCAAAAGCCCTTGGCAAGCAGTTTTTGGTATGATGATGGGAAAGGTTATTTCAGTGAATTTAAGGCCCGTTCACTTCGCTGATTCGAGTTTATAATTCGAGTTGAGATGTGATTTTATGTGAGAGTTTTTTACTGTAGTAAAAAAGTTAAAAGTGACTGTTTTTGAGAATTTTTTACTATAGTAAAACTCGAATTATAAACTCAAATCGACGAAATGAACGGGACCTTAAGGTTTGTTTCTGTCATGGCTTGAGCTTTGCTTGGTAGTAGAGGGCACGCGGATCTTAATGCCAATTTTGTGGTTTTGTTGCCTCAGTCACTACATGGGAGTAACAATCCAAAAGCCTTAAAAAGGGAATATAGCAAATTATTATTAGTGATGTACTAGTGATTGTTGGAGTCTCGGACTATTTCATTTAATCAATTTAAGTTTAAAATTTGAGTTTTGTTACAGTAAAATTTTTTTAAAAACAGTCACATTTAATTTTTTTTTATAATAAAAAATTTTCACATAAAATTACATCTCAACTCAAATCAGCGAACTAAACGGACCTGTTATATTCATATTCCGATCCCAAGCATATTATCTTTGAAGTAGTTGATATGTAAATATTGCGGCTCATGATTTAGTTAAAAAAGCAAAAAAAAATTGTTCAAGTGGGCTCACCACCAGTAGAATATATATCTTTTCTTTGAGTGCATATTAAACAGTCCTCTCAAAATAAAAGATATATAAGATCAATGATTGCGTTTAAGTTAGTGACTCTGATTTATTAGTATAAATTTTATGAAAGAATAAACTTTGAATTTAAATTTTTTGTAAGATGAAAAATATTATAATAGAATCAGAATTATAAGCTCAAATATGAGAACTAAACGAGACATTAAACATATAAAAGTTGTTTTTACAAAAAAAAAAAAAAAAAAAAAAAAAATTTTTTTTTTTTTAAAAAAAAAAAAAAAAAAAAAAAAAAAATTGTTATTTTTTTTCTTTTGTGTTTTTAGAATAAATACACGGATTATAGTTCTTTTCAATTTTGGTTGTTAAACTTTAGATTTTCAATTTTGATCCCTTAATTTTCACACATTTCGTCAAGTTTTTAGTACTTAGTTATATAAAAGGACTAAAACTGAAACAAGATAATAGATTAAGGACCAAAAATGAGAATATTTTAAAAATCAAGAACTAAAATGAGGTGGGAGATAAAACTCAATTAATCCTATATTTTTAACATTTATTATGAATAACAAATTAAAAATTTTATCCATATTTTTATGTTACACTTATTTCTTATAACAATAGGAGCTTTTGATGATTTGTGTTTCTCTTATTCTACTGATTAGGATATTTGCATAGACTTTTTATTTAATATTTTTAAGTTCATGTAGGTCAAAGTTGAAGCACCTAACGTAACATCCATCAATTATAGAGGTTTTTTTTTTATATTTTTAAGTTAGGGTGACTTGAGTGATGATCTTGAGTTGAGTTTGAGTTATAACTTGAGTTGAAGTTGTAACTTGAATTTGTATTTGGATGTGTACATTTGAGTTATGATTTGAATTGAAAATCTTTTTGAGTTTGTATTTGGGTGGGTCAAAACTTAAATTTGTATTTAGATAATATTTTAATAAAAACTCAATAGTGATGAAAAATTTTAATAGAGTATATGAGTGCGGTTTTATTCATCTTTTCGTTATGAATGCATAAAAAATCATCTTAATCAGAATTAAAACGAAAAAGTTATGGCATTTTTAAGAATAGAAAAAATATTGTTCATTAATTTGAGTTTGAGTTTATAAACTCGAGTTGAAAGGGAAATTTGAACTTGAGTTTAGCTCTAAACTCAAGTTCAAACTCAAATTTTATAAAAGAATATAAACTTAAATAAAGTTATAATTAAAGTTTAAATTTTTTCTAAGTTTCAACCTAAAAAAAACAACCTTTAAAATTGCAAGTTTGAACTAATTGCCCAAGCCTATACTTTAGGCTCAAAAGTGCCATGCCCAAAGTACTTTTTATATTTTTAAAATGCCCTCTTAAAGGTTTGGGACAGTCGGCACGCTATTTTCACCGAATTTACCGGCTGGCTGAAAATTCTCATTTGGGCTGCCAGACTAGGCCAGACCACTTGAACTTTCAGTTCTGATTGATTCATTACGACATCAATGATTGTTTCAAATAAGATATATGATCATGGCCAACGTATGTAATTCGACTTCGTATGAATGATAATCAACTAATGGCATTAAATAATCTAGCAGTCTCGTTTGGCATAAAGTAATGTTTATATTTTCTTTTCATGTTAATATAATTTAAGAGAAAAGAAATGTATCGAGAGTGCCAACTGGTTCAATTGGTAATTTTCTAATTTTACGTTGTACAAGAACAACTCTAGAATGAGAGATGATTGACTCCTGATCATGTAAACATAGTGACAAGAAATGAACCTGGTTGATATGGTCTCGTGGTTTATTTTAAGAGAGAAACGGACAAAACGTTTCGTCTAAACAAAAATAGATTTTTCCTTAATATATGGTAAGAGTACTGATGTTGGTCTAGTTTGACAAGGATTCTAACTTAGCTCACTCCAAGTCACAATCGTTACAATTGGCATGTTGATATACTGTCATTTTAAGTTAAGTGGACGTTTAGTTCATAAATTCAGAATTATAATTCAGAACTATTCTCGATTTACGTGTATTTTTTGTAAGAAAAAAATACTGTAGAGAGTTACGAACTATAATTCGAACTATGACACGAATTCTCATACCAAAGTATATAAAACAAAACAAATAACGATATAAATATCGGATAAATAAATATTTATAAATTAATATGTTATTTATTTCAATTCTTGAGAAAATATTTTATTTACTTAAAATCGTTTATAAAATTCGTGATTTGTTTCTTTCAAAAAAAATCTAAGATTAATTCTACGAATACAATTAAAATTTAGAGATTAGCTGTTCGGGTTAACTTTTATTTTTTTTATTGTTTTAATTCTTAAATTTTAAATTTTTTTAATTTTAATCTTTAATTTTTACAAATTTTGTTAAATATCTAATACTTAACGGATAGAAACTGAAAAACGATGAAACTGAAACAAATAAAATTTTATAGACTAATTATAACATATTTTAAAAGTTAAGGGATTAAAATAAGAATCCATTAACCCAAATATTTATGTACACACACAAAAGGTACGAATAAAATTGGAGGTCCATAACGGTCGCGAAATCGGTTAAATTGCGACTGTCCAAAGCCACGAGCGTAGAAGAAAGCTCACCAAAACAAACCACAATCCAAAACCATGGCGTTCATGATCACCCTCTCTCCTTCTCCTTCTTCTTTATCTTCTTCAACTGCTCTACTTTCGCCTTCTCTCACCTCTCTCGCTCGTACTCTACCACTTCGTTTCCGAACCTCCACATCAAGGACTTCAATCAAGCAATGGAGACCTCTCTCGGTTTCGGCTTCGGCTTCGGTTTCCTCCGCCCTTGAAGCCCTTATCTTCGACTGCGATGGCGTCATTCTCGAGTCCGAGCACTTGCACCGCCAGGCCTACAACGACGCCTTCGCGCATTTCAACGTCCGCTGCTCCGGCTCTCCGGAGCCTCTTAATTGGGGCTTGGAATTCTACGACGAGCTTCAGAACACAATTGGCGGGGGGAAAACTAAAATTCGATGGTTAGGAATTATGATCTACGGCTTTGTCTCAATTTCTTCGGTTTGATTTGGTTTTGGTTCTTTGAATTGAGACTGAAATTGGTTGCGGTTTGGATTGATTAGGTATTTTAAGGAGCACGGATGGCCGTCGTCGACGATCTTTGAGACGCCTCCGGAGGATGATGAAAACCGAGCTAAGTTGATCGATATTTTGCAGGTCTTATATTCAGTTGAAAAGTTGATGATTTCGAACTTTTGAGTGTTAAAGAAATAATTAATTGGCTTAATTTAGTGAATTTTCTAGCTTCTTAAGAGTAACACAAAACTAACGCTTCCTGTGGAGATCATAAAAAGTACTAATTTAGTAGTTTTCTGCATGCTATTGTATAACTGCATTCATTGGGATTCCAGTATTGGAATTCGCATGCTTACTTTGATGAAAACAAATATAACTGGTTTGTGGGCGTCAAGTAGAATGTTTAATTTGTACATTACAGTTGGGTATATTTCATATAGACTACCACTATAGAGTGTAAGTTATCCTTTTATTTTGTTATTATTATTTTTTATTATTTTTTGTTGGGACTGTCTTGTTGACGTATAGGTTAATTTTAATTGGGACCTAAAGAAATTCACTTCTTCAGTGTGTTTAGTTCTATGATACCACATTGATGTTTTTATTTTCTTCCAGGATTGGAAAACGGAAAGATACAAGGAAATAATCAAATCTGGAACGGTAAGGAGAGTTTGTGCTCTCTGTTTTTCCTGTTTTCTTGTTTGAAAAGCTCATTAAAGAGGCTACTTAAGGCACTTTAGACTGATATTGCTTTGCACAGGTGGAACCAAGGCCTGGAGTTTTGAGACTAATGGATGAGGCCAAGGCTGCAGTAAGATAATATTCACAATGCATAATGGAACATTTCTTCAACGGCACGTCGAATTAATCTACTAATTCTAATTTGGTCAAACAACGTCTGTTTATATTTTTCTAAAGTCACTTCCGTTTAAATTGTCCGCCGTTGCTGAGTAAATTGTTGTTTCACTTTTCTTGATTTTATGCTTATGATATGATGCTGTCTCCCTTTTTCTTAGGGGAAAAAACTTGCTGTTTGCTCTGCAGCAACTAAAAGTTCAGTTATACTATGTCTTGAAAACCTAATTGGACTTGTAAGCCCCTTTCTCTGCCCTTTTCCTTTATAACAAGAATCTCTTTTTCCTCTTTTTGTTTCTCTACGGTTAGTTCATTGTTGCTTACTTGCTTTCGTTATTTTAGGAGCGCTTTCGAGGTCTGGATTGCTTCTTAGCTGGTATGACGACTACTTCTGAATGAATATCCTTATCATTGAGACATTTCTGGCTATATGTAATATCCTTAAATGGCTCTGCACGTATATGAAACTATATATTTTATGCTACAGAGTCCAAAGTTGTGTTAGTTTTTCCATTGATTAAGACTAATGTCATATAAATGCCCCAAAGTTCTATCCAAATATAATATACTGTGGTAAAATCAAGGCAGCTCAACTCCCATATGGTTTGGTATTATCTAAATTGTCTGCTTCTGAGACTCAGACTATCGTCAGGTACAAAAGTTCTATAATATGTGTCGTTTTCTGTTTGCAGGTGATGATGTGAAGTTGAAAAAGCCTGATCCTTCTATTTATTTGACAGCTGCTGAGGTAATAAATTAAGTAGAATAATTTGAAACTTACAATACAAATGGGAACCCCCATGATTTCCTTTTATGCTTTGCAGATGTTAGGTCTATCAGGAAAAGGTTGTATAGTTGTAGAAGACAGTGTCATTGGGCTACAGGTACATTTTTTTTTTTTTTCTTGTTCATTTTTACTTATATGTGTAGGTCATGAATTTTACAAGTATGGTTGAAACCTTGACGAAGAGAGGGTTTTCTGCCATAATTGTTTTACGTTAGTAAGGTAATAATTGATGAGAGAAGTTTTATTCCCAACTACATCAGTGAATTTACCCGTGATTTAGCAAATTTTATCTGTAAGTCACAACTGATCATTCAATCAAATCAACTTATTTTGGTTAAAACGAGAGGAAATTTCCCCTCTGTAGGCAGCAACAAGTGCTGGGATGTCCTGTGTGATTACCTACACATCTTCAACAGCAGACCAGGTAAACTCATTTCTTTTAGAACTACTTTGGGCAAACAAAATCAGGGAAATGGTATGTCACAGGTAACAAAATAATCAATTACAACAGAATAAGACAATTAAAATCCTACCTTTTTTTCTTACTTTTATTTATTTATTTATTTTTTGCTGCAACTCGTCTAGGATTTTAAAGAAGCAATAGCAATATATCCCGACTTGAGTAATGTGAGGTATGAAGCTGCATGCTTTACATATGATATCACATTCTCTCTTCGCTGGATCGATTTACATCTCAAATATGTTTTCTTCCAACTGTGGCAGATTGAAAGACTTGGAACAATTACTTCAAGAAACTGTCACCACAAAATAGGAATTCATAAGGTTTCTTGGAATTGAAAGAATCTATGTTCCTTTGAAATTTTGCTGCAAGTGAGAGCAATTAAAGGCATCATACCATAAAATTGCCATGCATCTGCATTTCTCCTCTGTTTAGTTGGTCTCTGGAAATAATTCTTTATGCATTTATTGAAAGTATGAACAGATGTTACACAAGAACATAAAGAACATTTGATTCCATGGTGTAATGAAGCCCAATCTCTGTTTCTGAAGCTTCGTGGGTGTAAATTCTGTTACACACCTCACTGGACTGAAGACATAGATGTGCATATTTTTCTATGGTAGAAGCTCAACGAGGCAAACTTTTGCTTGAAAACTATGTGGGTTGCCTTGGTACTAATGTAAAATGGTAATATTGACAAATACCCTTTGAAAGTGCATGGATCATGATTTTTACTCTTGATTCACATCTTTTTAGTTAACTAATTACACTAACAAAAGGGTATTTATCAAGAATAAAGGGTAAAAGTCCAGATTCATGCACTCTTAAGGATAAATTCTGTAATTTTCTCAATGTTGTTTGTAGAACTACTAGGCCTTACCGCAAAATACTAGTTAAAGGTACTTTTTGGGTTACTAAGCTCACACATAAATACACTGATATGCATTTCAAAAAAGGGAGGAAAAAAAATGATCAACTATTGTATTTATATATGTATGCGGGATGGTTTCTGACAAATACCCTTCAAAATTTTATCACATATTAATTACCGCCAGTCATTTGGTGCAGATGATAAAGCTGTTCGTTTTTCCCGACAAGTGTTTGGGAGGAAAACGAAACCCCACCACAATAGGTGGGATATATTGGTAACCCAATCCATGAGCAATTTATACGTTCTGAGGGGATGCATTATCTCGCTGAAACTATACGGGTACACCATCCTATATGCTTATAACTCTTTGGTGTCATTAGAAAGTCCAAATCTTAGTTCAATATTAGGGGTTATGTTGGTTAAAAACTGACAATTTTATTTCAGTTGATTTCCGACTGAATGTCAGTATTGAGATTTGGGAACTGAGGGCCGAAGCGTTGAAGAATATGATTTGTCAGTTTTCGACTGATGGTAGTCGGTCTTGTTCAGGTTTAGACAGCAGTAGCCTGTTAGTCTACAGCAGTACCCATAAGCTGAAGTACAGTAACCTGGTCGGTTTTTATGTATTTTAGAAATATAACTAGTTGAACTTAAGCACGTGGAAAACAATCTGTGTGTTAAGTTGTAATTAATTAATTATCATGTTATAATTAAAAATATATAAAATCTAAATACAAAATCTCAATGAGGAACTAAAATAATAATAAAAAGTTTTAGAGCCAGAAGTGATGACAAAGTCAAAAAAGGACTAAAATGAATAAATAAAATTTTTTTTATGGCAAAATGAACCAAAGTGAAAAAATAAAATTTTAGGGAAAAAATAAAAACGGGGTCAAAAAAGAAAAAAATGAAGAAATAACTAAATTTTAGAGTAAAAGGAAACAAAACCAAAAAAATAATAAAATTTTAGGAAAAATAAAAAAAAGAGTCAAAAAGGTCAAAATAGAGAAATAAATAAGTTTTAAGGCAAAATGAGCAAAAAAAAATAAAGTTTCAGGTAAAAAAATAAAAAAGAGGTAAAAAAAGGACTAAAAAGAAGAAATAAATAAGTTTTAGGGTAAAATGAACAAAAAAGGGAAAAATTTCAAGACAAAAAGTAAAAAAAATAAATAAATAAAATAGGACTAAAATGAAGAAATAAATAAATTTTAGAGTAAAAAAAGTTTTAGGGCAAGAAGCAAAGAAACATTATCAATAAAAAAACCAAAAGGGAAAAATGAATAAATATTAAGGCATAAGGAACAAAAAGGAAAATGAATATAAAATTTTAGGACAAAAAGAAAAAAATAAAAATTTAAAAGGACTAAAATAAAAAATACGAATAAATTTTAGGATGAAAAGTAACAACAACAAAAAATACTCAAAAAAGTGAGAAAGTTGTACATTTTCAACTAAAATTACGTCATTTTGGTTAAAAGTACACTATTTAAAGTACACTTTCTCACTTCAATTAACACTAAATGAGTAATAATCAGAAAAGAAGAGGGACATAAAGGAATGAAAAAGGTTAACAAAAATTCCCCGAGAAGTTTTCTAAGGCATTTAGTATATACTAGAGAAATGACCAAAACTCCAAAAAAAAAAAAAAAAAAAAAAAAACACAAATGAAGAAATAAAAACCTGAGGGCAAAATGGTAAAAGTAAAAGTGGGGGAACACAAATGCAATTTTTCAGAAGTTAAGGGACAAAAAACATTGGAAGCTAAGGGAAAAAAGGTAAAAGCAAAAGTGAGTGGACACACACGAAATTTTTTGAAAGTTAAGGAACAGAAAAGACCGAAAACTAAGGGAAAAATGGTAAAAGCAAAAGTGAGGGAACATAGACGAATTTTTTTAAAAGCTCAAGGACAAAAAAGAGCTCACACTGTTTTTTGAACAGTAAAAGCCCGTCCTCCTATAGTATATAAACTAGTTGAACTCCACAAGCTTTTGCACGTGGAAAGTAATCTCTGTGTTAAGTTGTAATTAACTAATTGTCATGTTATTATAAAAAACATATAAAATCTAAATATAAAATCTCAATGAGGAACCAAAACAAAAATGTTTTAGGGTAAGAAGTCAAGATAAAGTCAAAAAATGACTAAAATTAATAAATAAATATTGTTTTAGGGCAAAATGAATCAAAGCGAAAAAATAAAGTTTTAGTGAAAAAATAAAAAAGGGTCCAAAAAGACAAAAATGAAGAAATAACTAAATTTTAGAGTAAAGGAACCAAAACTAAAAAATAATAAAATTAGAGGAAAAAATAATAAAAAAAGACTAAAGAAAGTCAAAATTGAGAAATAAATAAGTTTTCAGGCAAAAGGAGCCAAAATGAAAAAAAAAATTAAAGTTTTAGGTAAAAAATAAAAAAAAAGAGTAAAAATGACTAAAATGAAGAAATAAATAAGTTTTAGGGCAAAAGGAACAAAAAAAGAGAAAAATTTTAGGACAAAAGGTAAAAAAAATCAAATAGGACTAAAATGAAGAAATAAATAAGTTTTAGGGCAACAAGCACAGAAACATTATCAATAAAAAATCAACAGGGAAAAATAAATAAATTTTAAGACAAAAGGAACCAAAATGAAAATGAAAATAAAATTTTAGGACAAAAAGAAAAAAATAAAAAGTTTAAGGACAAAAATAAAAAATAAAAATAAGTTTTAGGTTGAAAAGTAAAAATAACCTAAAAAAAGACTCAAAAAAGTGAGAAAGTTGTACACTTTCAACCAAAGCTATGTTGTTTTGGTTAAAAGTACACTATTTAAAGTACACTTTTTCACTTCAATTAACACTAAATGAGTAATAAACAAAAAAAGAAGAAGGGTAAAAAGGAAAGAAAAAGGCTAACAAAGCTTCTCTGAGAAGTCTTCTAAGGCATTTAGTATATACCAAAGAAATGACCAAAACGCCCAAACAAAAAACAAATGAAGGAATAAGAAGCTGAAGGCAAAACGGTAAAAGCAAAACTAGGGGAACACAGATGAAATTTTTTGAAAGTTAAGGGACAAAAAAGACCAGAAGCTAAGGGCAAAACAGTAAAAGCAAAAGTGAGGGAACACAGACGAAATTTTCTAAAAGTTGGGGTACAAAAAAGACCGGAAGCTAAGGTCAAAATAGTAAAAGTAAAAGTGAGCAAACACAGACGAAATTTTTGAAAAGCTGTGAGACAAAAAAGAGCTCACACTGCTTTTTGAACAGTAAAAGCCCGGCCTCCTATAATATATAAACTAGCTGAACTCCACATGCTTTTACACGTGGAAAGTAATCTGTGTTAAGTTGTAATTAACTAATTGTCATGTTATTATTAAAAGCATATAAAATCTAAATATAAAATCTCAATGAGGAGCCAAAATTTAAAAAAAAAAATGTTTTAGGGTAAGAAGTCAAGATAAAGTAAAAAAATGACTAAAATTAATAAATAAATATTGTTTTAGGGCAAAAGGAATCAAAGCGAAAAAATAAAGTTTTAGTGAAAAAATAAAAAAGGGTCCAAAAAGACAAAAATGAAGAAATAACTAAATTTTAGAGTAAAAGAAACCAAAACTAAAAAAAATAATAAAATTTGAGGAAAAAATTAAAAAAAAAGACTAAAGAAATGTTAAAATTGAGAAATAAATAAGTTTTCAAGCAAAAGGAGCCAAAACGAAAAAAAAAATTAAAGTTTTAGGTAAAAAATAAAAAAAAGAGGTAAAAATTACTAAAATAAAGAAATAAATAAGTTTTAGGGCAAAAGGAACAAAAAAAAAAGAGAAAAATTTCATGCCAGAAGGTAAAAAAAATAAAATAGGACTAAAATGAAAAAATAAATAAGTTTTAGGGCAAGAAGTAAAGGAACATTATCAATAAATAACCAAAAGGGAAAAATAAATAAATTTTAAGACAAAAAGAACCAAAATGAAAATAAAATTTTAGGACAAAAAGAAAAAAAAATAAAAAGTTAACAGGACTAAAATAAAAAATAAAAATAAGTTTTAGGATGAAAAGTAAAAACAACATAAAAAAGTGAGAAAAAAGTGAGAAAGTTGTACACTCTCAACCAAAGCTACGTTGTTTTGGTTAAAAGTACACTATTTAAAGTACATTTTTTCACTTCAATTAACACTAAATGAGTAATAAACAAAAAAAGAAGAAGGGTAAAAAGGAAAGAAAAAGGTTAAGAAAGCTTCTCTGAGAAGTTTTCTAAGGCATTTAATATATACCAAAGAAATGACCAAAACGCCCAAACAAAAACAAATGAAGGAATAAGAAGCTGAAGGCAAAACGGTAAAAGCAAAACTGGGGGAACACAGATGAAATTTTTTGAAAGTTGAGGGACAAAAAAGACCATAAGCTAAGGGCAAAACAGTAAAAGTAAAAGTGAGGGGACACAGATGAAATTTTCTGAAAGTTGGGGTACAAAAAAGACCGGAAGCTAAGGTCAAAATAGTAAAAGTAAAAGTGAGCAAACACAGACGGAATTTTTGAAAAGCTGTGAGACAAAAAAGAGCTCACACTGTTTTTTGAACAGTAAAAGCCCGGCCTCCTATAATATATAAACTAGTTGAATTCCACATGCTTTTACACGTGGAAAGTAATCTGTGTGTTAAGTTGTAATTTTCTAATTGTCATGTTATTATTAAAAGCATATAAAATCTAAATATAAAATCTCAATGAGGAGCCAAAATTAAAAAATATATATTTTAGGGTAAGAAGTCAAGATAAAGTAAAAAAATGACTAAAATTAATTAATGAATATTGTTTGAGGACAAAAGGAATCAAAGCAAAAAATAAAGTTTTAGTGAAAAAATAAAAAATGGTCAAAAAGGAAAGAAATGAAGAAATAACTAAATTTTAGAGTAAAAGGAACCAAAACAAAAATAAAATAAAATAAAATTTTGGGAAAAAATAAAAAATGAGTCAAGAAAGGTCAAAATTGTGAAATAAATAAGTTTTCAGGCAAAAGAAGCCAAAACGAAAAAAAATTAATGGTGCAGGTAAAAATT